TTTTACTTGCCTACCTTGGGGTAACTTACTCATTTTGAATGACTTCTTATAGGCTGTTGAACTCTCTGGTGGGTCAAAGGCCTCCTTCCTCATCGCTGTTATCCAGTTCCCAAGGCACTGATACTCTTTGATGGCTGCAGGCACACAACAGCCCAGCGCATTTCCCATGGCTACAGGGCTACAAAGGGAAGATTGGAGGTCCCCCAGTGTCCCAAACACATCTCCAAAGTCAATCAATCGGCATTTTCCAGGTGTTCTCTTCTGCTTGGCTATGCTTGGCTGAAGGTGTTCTCTTCTGCATTCACCTCGCTGCTAGTCAGGTGATGGCCTGACTAAAACAACTCGTGCATGACTCTTTCGAAGAACTCTGCCCTCCACAGCCTTGGCTGCGATCCAAATGGCTGCGATCCGTGCTACAGATCCGTGCTCCTCACCTTGGCAATGATGCCATGCTTCATGCCTTCATCCAGTTTTAAGATTCCCAGATCTCGCAGGCGCAGCCGCAGTAGTTAGAGCATATTGGAATTCTTGCACCCCGCGAACGGGCCAGGAGCAGGGATGAAACACCAGGCCGCAGAGTGGCTGCATTGGAGCAATTTCTTCAGCTTCAACGCTTGCCAGTGGCGTTCCGGTGCCACGCTCGGTGCCAATCCGGGTTTCTGGTGCGGACGACGACGACGCCAGCCGGTGCACGCATCCGCTGATGTGAAACTTCAAACAGCTAATTGTAGACTCTTGATATCTCTTGATTGACCCTCCCCCTTTGAATTGGACATCCTCTTCAAGCTTGGGGGCGTTATTTTATCATTAAGAGTCAAACAACAGCTAAAGGTTCACCGCATGGGGAGCTTCTTCACAGCGAGCAAGAGCTGGAGTGTGGCTGCCTTGAGATCCACCGAGAGCTCCTCACCTCGGGATGGAGGAGGCTCCAAGCTGAATAGGTCCGTCCTCCCACAAAAGCCTCAAAGCCTGAAATCCTACCAGATTTTGTTACAAAGGCATGGCAAAACCCTGCGGATTAGGCCACAAAACCCCTGAAGTCCTACAGAAACCGAAATAAGTCCGTTCCGGGCCACCAACCCTGGGCAGTAGAAGCCTCCAATCATCAATCACTGCAAGAGTCCCCCCTAAAAAATAGAAACTTCTGGGAAGGTATGCGAGCAAGTACAGAGGAGAAGGCAATGGTGAGATATGGTGAGTACTATGGTCAGTATAGGGTGCTGTTTTCGGGAGCAAGTATGTGCTTATAGGTGCTTTGTTAATTTCAGTCTTGTTGAAGGCCCATTCTCCCAGTCAAATGTCAAAGCTTGTCTCGGAGCAAATGACCCCAAACAAGTTCCGAAATAGACCCACTGTGGATCATGTGCACTGTGGATGAAAATGCTTCATAAACTAACGACATCCAACGGGGGTTTTGCATAGCTATGCGCAATCGATGGTAATCTGATCAAGTCTGCAGATTTAAAAAGAAGGCCTACCATCTACCATGGCCTACCAATCATTGTCAGATTATGTCAGATTACCAAAAGTCCTTGAGGAATTTAACACTTTTGATACACTTTTACTACGGCTACTCCCTTGGGGCTACCCCATACGTAGTCCCCACCCAAAAAAGATCGATGAACTTTTTTTGTGATGGCCCACTGACCTTCCCAAGAATCAACAACCGGCTCTTCAATAATGTCCACCTCTCAGTCTCACTCAGAATCTGATCTTGTGGCGCCTTTGACTTGTGCCCCATTGTGCCCCTATAGTTCAACAGCAAAACAAAATCACTTATTGGTGGGTGCTTGAAGGTGTTGTCGAACAAGACTGACCCCCAAAATAATGACACTATTTCCACCTCCAAAATTTGTTTCAATCAGTCTTTGATATAAATGGTGTTTTTGAGTATTTGTTTTGCCCCAACCGTCCCCTAGCACCATTTCTGCAGAGTCCGAAGGGATCTTGAAAAAACGCCGTTGGACATCGCAAACCTCGCTTGGAAATCGCAAGACGCGATTCTATAGATCCACGCGCCTTGAAGATGTGTCAAGATCCAGCCAACCTGCACCTCTGGCCTTAGCGTCGGCGCGATAAAGATTGATCCCAGCATCAGATGGTTTGTCACTCTGAAACCGACTCCGCGCAGGGAACCGACTCCGTTCAATCCAACCGAATGGCGGAATGATTTCAATTCAATCCGAACGTGGCAGTCCCTCGAACTGGATCCCACGGATCGACTTGTGTACCGAAAACAGGTGAACGATGGGTTGAACGATGGGTTGACTACACATTGACATGCTGCAAACGGTTTTAAAAAGAGGACTTCCAAAAAGAAACATCTAAACACATTTAATATATAGTTCCTCTCTCTGCCTTACCTTTCAAAACAACAGCGAAAATTACAAGCAATAATTCCCGTACCTTCAGTGCGTGACCTCTTCAGAGTGTTCACTGTTCACGGACTAAGTGACCTTGTCCTGGGATTTCAAAAGGTCACTTAGAAGGTCATGGCAACACCGCTTCATACTAGTTATCATCATTGTTGTGTGTTTCCCATCTTTCTTCAAGGTTGGACTCCTGACTCAGCGCTCACAGTGAGTCAGGTGACAGTCAGGAGTCAAAACCAAAAACCTAAAAGGAATCAGGGAACAAACCAATAAACAAAACAATCAAAACAGGAGTAGGCAGGTGCGACAAGAAGGTCAATCTGTAAGTGGTTTAAGCACATAAAACAAAACAAACTGCAGGATGGCAGGGTACAGGGTAATGTATATAGGTAGGATGTGTGCATGCCAAACGCTATATCAATCTAGAGTTGGGCTAAAAGCGATACTGCATTGTTGTTTGCTGTGTGTTCTGGCCCTTCTATAATTAGTAACTATAAATAACTATATAGCTACTGTTACTAGTATTGTTGCTATTCGTATTGTTTTTTGTATGATTATATATATATACATATTTACTCTAGAGATCTATATATAAGTATATAATAAACATATATATATATGCAATTTGTGTAAATATTGTCCAGGAGGATAAAGGGAAATCGAAAAACGCTCTTGGCTTCGTGTACTAGTGATAAATTCTCTGCATTCAACCGCTAGATACGAGCCAATATGAAACTCCCAAAAAAAGGACCAGCATGAAATCATGGCATTTGTCCAGGAAGAGACAGCAGTGATATCCCTGAGACAGCAGTTCTGTCGCTTTCGATTACTAAAAGGAATACGACCATCAGGACGACGATCACCAGAACACGAAGAAAACGCCAACGGCAACACCACGAGACTCATCCAGTCTGATCTTCGACCGCAACGTTCAACGGAACCATACCACTGGCCAGCAGTCGCACTCAGGCGCAGAAAGGCACAGAAACGAGAGTCCCATCAAGAGTGACCAAGGCCACCTCAAAATCCTGGTTGGCAGTGAACATGCAAAGTGCTACTTCACCAACTACCAACTCCACGCGGAACAGCAATCACCGTATAGTATCCGCCTTACGACCATCGACAACACTCACATGCACATCTCCGTTGCCAGTCCCACAAGATTTCAGCGTGCCACGTGCCGCACGTTTTCGTTATTCATGACCCTGTCTGCGGCACACGCACATCGCCAGCGGAAAACAAAAGAACCGAAAAAAAAAAAAAAAAAAACATGAACATTGAAAAAAAAACATGAACATTGGCAGACACATGCTTCAAACATTCGCCGCATTCGGACGTCTTCAGTGCTCGTTGCGCGCCGTGAAATGGCGACACCACACGAGTCATCGGGCGACACCACGAGCGAGGCTTTTGCGCCCGTCCAACGACCGATGTCGCTGAGCAACACATGATGTCGTGCGCCCAAAGGAGGTTAGTCACTATCGGTCCTTGAGCCAACAGCAATAACAACCATCATCCAGCAACCATAAGCATACCATAATCACCACAACATACCAACACCATAACCACATAACATATAATTTTCTGTTCTCTATTCCGAGCCATTCCACCGCCCTTTCCAGGAACTT